ACCTCCAGTACTATGTTGAATAACAGTGGGGAGAGGGGGCATCCTTGTCTTGTTCTCAATCTCAGGGGAAAAGCTTTCAGCTTCTTGCTCTTCAGTATGATATTGGCTGTGGGTTTATCATATATGGCCTTTATTATGTTAAGTTACTTGCCCTCTATACCCATTTTGTTGAGAGTTTTTATCATGAATGGATGTTGAATTTTGTCAAATGCTTTTTCAGCATCTATGGAGATGATCACGTGGTCTTTGTCCTTTTTGTTGATGTGGTGGATGATGTTCATGGATTTTCAAATGTTGTACCATCCTTGCATCCCTGGAATAAATCCTACTTGATCATGATGGATGATCTTTTTTATGTATTTTTGAATTCAGTTTGCTAATATTTTGTTGAGTATTTTTGCATCTATGTTCATCAGAGTTACTGGTCTGTACTTTTCTTTTCTTGTGGTGTCCTTGCCTGATTTTGGTATTAGGGTGATGCTGGCTTTGTAGAGTGAGTTTGGAAGTATTCCCTCCTCTTCTATTTTTTGGAGAACTTTAAGGAGAATGAGTATTAGGTCTTCACTAAATGTTTGATAAAATTCAACAGTGAAGCCATCCGGACCAGTCGTTTTGTTCTTAGGTATTTTGTTGATTACCAATTCAATTTTGTTGTAGTAATTGGTCTGTTCAGATTTTCTGTTTCTCTCTGGGTCAGCCTTGGAAGGTTCTAGAGAGTTGTGCATTTCTTCTAGGTTATCCAGTTTGTCAGCATATAATTTTTCATAGTATTCTCTAATAATTCTTTGTATTTCTGTGGTGTCCGGCGTGATTTTTCCCTTCTCATTTCTGATTCTGTTTATGTGTGTAGACTCTCTTTTTTTCTTGATAAGTCTGGCTAGGGTTTATTTTTTTGTTTGTTTATTTTTTTTGAAGAACCAACTCCTGCTTTCATTGATTCTTTCTATTATTTTATTCTTCTCAATTTTACTTATTTCTGCTCTAATCTCTATTATGTCCCTCCTTCTACTGACTTTGGTCCTCATTTGTTCTTTTTCTAGTATCATTAATTGTGAGTTTAGATTGTTCATATGGGATTGTTCTTCTTTCCTGAGGTAGGCCTGTTTTGCCATATACTTCCCTCTTAGCATGGCCTTTGCTGTGTCCCACAGATTTTGCAGTGTTAAATTATTGTTGTCATTTGTCTTGATATATGGCTTGATCTCTGTTTTTATTTGGTCATTGATCCATTGGTTATTTAGGAGCATGTTGTTAAGCCTCCATGTGTTTGTGGACTTTTTTGTTTTCTTTGCATAGTTTATTTCTAGTTTCACACCTTTGTGGTCTGAGAAGCTGGTTGGAACAATTTCAGTCTTTTTGAATTTACTGAGGGTCTTTTTGTGGCCTAGTATGTGATCTATTCTTGAAAATGTTCCATGCGCACTTGGGAAGAATGTGTATCCTGCTGCTTTTGGGTGTAGAGGTCTGTAGATGTCTGTTAGGTCCATCTGTTCTAATGTGTTGTTCAATGCCTCTGTCTTCTTACTTATTTTCTGTCTGGTTGATTTGTCCTTTGGAGTGAGTGGTGTGTTGATGTCTCCTAGAATGAATGCATTGCATTCTATTTCCCCTTTTAATTCTGTTAGTATTTGTTTCACATATGTAGGTGCTCCTGTGTTAGGTTCATAGATGTTTATAATGGTTATATCCTCTTGTTGGATTGACCCCTTTATTGTTATGTAATGTCCTTCTTTGTCTCTTGTGACTTTCTTTGTTTTGAAATCGATTTTGTCTGATACAAGTACTGCCACACCTGCTTTTTTCTCCCTATTAGTTGCATGAAATATCTTTTTACATCCCTTCACTTCTGGTCTGTGTATGTCTTTGGGTTTGAAATGAATCTCTTGTAGGCAGCATATAGTTGGGTCCTGTTTTTTATTCCATTCAGTGACTAATTCTTTTGATTAGTACATTCAGATCATTTACATTTAGGGCGATTATCGATAGGTATGTAGTTACTGCCATTGCAGGCTTTAGATTCATGATTACCAAAGGTTCAAGGGTAACTTCCTTACTATCTAACAGTCTAACTTAACTCGCTTAGTATGCTATTACAAACAATCTAAAGGTTCTTTTTACTTTTTTCTGTCCTTTCCTTCTGCCTCCATTCTTTTTATATTAGGTATCATATTCTCTATGCTTTATCTATCCCTTTTTATTACTTCTGGAATGTTAGGAACACTTCCATCTGTAGCAGTCCCTCCAAAATTCACTGTAGACATGGTTAGTGGGAGGTAAATTCTTTTAGCTTTTGCTTATCTGGAAATTGTTTAATCCCTCCTTCAAATGTAAATGATAATCTTGTCAGATAAAGTATTCTTGGTTCAAGCCCCCTTCTGCTTCATTGCATTAAATACATCCTGCCACTCCCTTCTGGTGTATACAGTTTCTGCTGAGAAGTCTGGTGATAGCGATGGGTTTTTCTTTGTATGTGATCTTATTTTTCTCGCTGGCTGCTTTTAATAGTCTGTCCTTATCCTTAATCTTTGCCATTTTGATTATTATATGTCTTGGTGTTTTCCTCCTTGATTCCTTTGTGTTGGGAGATCTGTGCACCTCCATGGCCTTAGAGTCTGTCTCCTTCCCAAGATTGGGGAAGTTTTCAGCAGTTACTTCCTCAAAGACACTTTCTATTCCTTTTTCTCTCTCTTCTTCTTCTCATACCCCTATAATACAAATATTGTTCTGTTTAGATTGGTCACACTGTTCTCTCAATATTCTTTCATTCCTAGAGATCCTTTTTTCTCTCTGTGCTTCGGCTTCTTTGTATTCCTCTTCTCTGATTTCTATTTCATTTATTGTCTCCTCCACTGTATCTAATATGCTTTTAATAGCCTCTGTTGTGTTCTTCAACAATTGAATCTCTGACCTAAATTTGTTCTTGAATATTTTTCTATACCTACAGGAGCATGTTTATGATTTTTATTTTGAACTCTCTTTCAGGAATACTGGTGAGTTGTTTCACTTGGGCCTTTTTCTGGTGTTTGTGAGATTTTGGCTTGAACCAGGTTCCTTTGACATTTCATATTTGTATGTGGTGCCCTGTAGTGCCCAGAAACTGTAGTCTGTGGAGCTGCTTAGCCCTTGGAGTGATGTCAGGGGTTGCAGGGGAGTGGCGCTAGTGCCCGGAGGGGAGGAAAGAGCTGTTTCCTGCTTCCCAGCTGCAGTGCCTGTGTCCACTGTCAGAACCAGTGGGCCGAGCACACAGGTGTCAGCCTCTGTGCTTTGCATTTGTAGCTGCTGTAGGCGGGGCCTCCCTTTGGCTGGCCTGATGCCAGGGCAGTGACTGCCAGTTTGCGAACCTGTGCTGGCAGGCCAGGAGGAAAGCACAGTAGGGTGCGTATCACTGTGGGATGTCTCCAAGCTGAATAGCCACCCAGGGGGATGCAGCACCTGAAGTTTCTGAAAATTCCCAACCTGCTGGGCAGATCATACCCAGACAACCTTGCCCACCTTTCTGTTTTCCTGAGCAGCAAGCTCCATGTAATCAGTGCCCCTTCAGCAGCCCTCTCACTGCTAGGAAGCTTCTCAGACTGCCTGCCTTTCCTTTGTCCCAGAGTGGCTGGATGTGAATCCCTGTCCTCCACAAACAGCTGGAATCTCAGTCTCTCTAACCTAAGCATTCAGCCTGTCTTAGCTTTCCAACCCCACTAATCTCCAGAGCACCATGCAATGTAGGTTTGTGCTCCAAGAGCAGATCTCCAGGGCTGAGTGTTCAGCAGTCCTAGGCCTCCACCCCCTCCCCGCTCTGTTTCTCTCCCTCCTGCTGGTGAGCTGGGGATGGGGTTTGGGTCCCGCCAGATCAAGGCTTTGGTACGTTACCCTGTTTTTGCTTTATTCTCCAGATGTATATTGTCTTGTGCAGCCTTCTTTCCTGTTGCTCTTTTAGGATTAGTTGTATTAACTATGCTTTCTTACTATATGTGGTTTTGGGAGAAGTTCTCTGTATCACCTCTCATGCCACCATCTTTAATCCCTCTTGACCCTTTTACTTCTATGAATATACTTTTCAGTTTATCACTATTTTTACTATAGATGGCCTTCCTCACCCCCAGTACAGGAAAATCGCATTTGTTTCTTTTCTTATTTTCTTTCAGACTTTGATTTTACAACTGAGACCAACAAGTTATCTTCAGAAAAAATCAGTCAAGAAGTAAATTCACACCATTGGGAGAGAATGAAAAGAAGTAAAACTTTCAACTTATTGGGATTTATTTTAAGAAATAACCCACACTGCAACATTGAATTTGGAAGACAACAGGAACCTAAAGTGGATTGTTTTAGTCAAATGACATTCACAAAGTACATACCTCTCCTCCCTTTACATCAGAGGATTCACACTACAGAGAAATCCTATGAATGTAAAGAATATAGAAAGAGCTATAGAAAATATACACATTTTACTAAACATCTAAGAGACCATATTGGTGTGAGACCCTATGAATGTAAGGAATGTGGGAAGGCCTTTAAAGCTCTCCAGCATTTTATTAGACATAAAAAGACTCACACTGCTCTGAAGTCCTATGAATGTAATGGATGTAAGAAGGCCTTTAGGTTTTATTCACACCTTTTACAACATCAGATCATTCATACTAGTATAAAACCCTATAAATGTAAGCAATGTGGGAAAGCTTTTAAACGTCCTTCTCATCTAACTGTACATCAGAAAATTCATATTGGTTTGAAACCCTATGAATGTAAAGAATGTGGGGAAACTTTTAGATTGTACCGACATATGTGTCTACATCAGAAAATTCATCGTGGTGTGAAACCCTATATATGTAAGGAATGTGGAAAGGCCTTTGGTCATCGTGCAAGTCTTTATCAACATAAGAAAATCCATTCTGGTGAGAAACCATACAAATGTAACCAATGTGGAAAGGCCTTTGTTCACAGATATTTACTTATTGAACATCAGAGAAGTCATACTGGTGAGAAGCCTCATGAATGTAAGGAATGTGGTAAGGCCTTTAGTAGGATTTCAAGCCTTCTTCAGCATAAGAGAAGTCATAGTAGTGAGAAACTCTATGATTGTAAGGAATGTGGGAAGGCCTTCTGTAGGGGCTCTCAGCTTATACAACATCAGAGAATTCATACTGGTGAGAAGCCACATGAATGCAAAAAGTGTGGAAAGACTTTCAAGCTTCATTCATACCTTATTCAACATCAGATAATTCATACTGATTTGAAACCATATGAATGTAAACAATGTGGGAAAGCCTTCAGTCGTGTTGGAGGTCTTAAAACACATCAGTCAATTCATGCTGGAAAGAAACCTTATGAATGTAAGGAATGTGGAAAAACCTTTAGACTTAATTCTCAACTAATTTATCACCAGACAATTCATACTGATTTGAAACCATATATATGTAAAGAATGTAAGAGGGCATTTCGTTCTGTCTCAGCTCTTTCTCGACATAAGAGAATACATACTGGTGAAAAACCCTATGAATGTAAAGAATGCGGTAAGGCCTTTAGTCGTAGTGATCGACTTACTGAACATCAGAGAATTCATACTGGTGTGAAGCCACACAAATGTAAAGAATGTGGGAAGACGTTTGCTCATTGCTGTCAACCTACTCAACATCAAAGGCTTCACACTTGTAAGAGACTATTAATGTGATGTGGTTGGAAAGTCATCAGCCATGGTGCATCCTTTACCATTATCACCATTCTGCCACCTGAAAATGTTACAGTAAAGATTAAACTAACATAAAAAATAAATGCTTGGAAGGCATCTGACACATAGTATTTGTTTACTGGATGTTATTTTTATGATAATCACTAGTATGACTATAAATTAATATAGAAGGAAGACCCTATGACCATATACCATATTTTTTTAATCACTCCATTCATATTTTACTTAAGATCATTTATTCTGGTCAACAATCTCATAGAAAGTATTTTAAAAGAAACTTTTACTCAAAGCTCAACCCCCTGAAGATAACAGGAAGAAACCTTGTGCCTTTTTTGAGTATTGACAGTATAGCTGTTGAAAATTGAAGTGATTTGAAGTTTTCTCACAACAAATTCTATAACACAGATAACATACAATCAACATTCCCCATAATTCAAAGAGATTGGAAATTAGGGTAGCCAAAAGACAGATGTTGACTTAGGAAAGTATTCCTAATGTTTTTGGAAGTTTTCATTTTTATATAAAGGGTATAACAAAAGTTGTACAATGAAGGTTTGTTTGCCCTGCACCTGGTTTCAACATCTTTCTTATATGTATGAAATGTGTTTGTGTGTGTGTGTGTATAAAATATATACAGGTGCACATATCATTATTACATGTTGACGATGTATTTTGCTGTGCTTTTGAGTGAATGTTTTAGAGATCCCTTCACCCTAAAAAATCCATATACAGCTCTGAGAATTAAAGATAGTCTTTTACATGACCACAAAGCTTTTGTCAACTAAAAACATTAACAGTAACCCTATAACATTCTACAATATTTAGTCCATTTACAAATTTCTCCAGTTGTGCATAAAGAATGGCTTCTGAAAGTGCTGGGTCTTTTTTAAATCCAAAAATTAAATTAAGCTTATATGTTTTATATGACTATAGCTTTTGAGTCTCCTTTGGTCAAGAACTTACTCTCCACCTCTTTTGTAACTTAGCTTTTTTTTGGAAAGTCACAGTGACACTCACTTAGATATTTAAGCAGTCGTACAAATTTCAAAGAAATTAAGGCTAACCCCCCATCCCATCTTTGATGTTTATCCATGTATTTACCATTTCCCATGCCCTTCATTCCTTCCCAATGATCTGAATTTCCATCTGGTATCATTTCCCTGCAGCTTGAAGAATTTAATTTAGCATTTCTTGGAGTGCATATCTGCTGGTGATGAATTTCTATTGTTTGTTTTACATAAATGCCTTTGTTCTGGAAGGATTTTTTCTTGCCATAGAATTCTGGGTTTTGTTTTGTATTTTTAAAAAAGATAAGTACCACTGGCTTCTGGCCAATGGTGATAAGTCATTTAAATTGTTTTTCCTCTGTATGTAAAGCGTATTTTCTCTACATGATGTCGATTTTCTTATTACATTTGGTTTTCAGCTGTTTGAATATGTTGTGCCTATGTGTAGTTTTCTTTGTGTTAATCCTCTATGATTCTCTGAACCTTTGAAATTTACACTTACACCTTTTACCAAATTTGGAAACATTATATTTTCAAATATTTTTCTCTACCCTTCTCCTTCTGGAATTCCAAGTAGTCAAATGTTATTTATTTTTTTATCATTATCATTATTATTTTTTTATTGCCTCACAGGTCACTGGCTCTGTTATTTATCTTCAACCTTTTTTCTGTTTTTCAGATTGGATTGCTCTGTTTTCATGTTTGCTGATTCTTTTCTGTTACCTCAATTCTGCTGTTATGTTTACTAGATGTTTAATTTGAGATGTTACATTTGTCACTTCTAAAATTTTCGTTGAGTACTTTTTCATAGTTTCTATTTTCTGTTTTTTCATTGCATTTTCATACTGCTTTTATGTTTTAATTATTCTGTATATTGATTCATGCTAGAAAGACATAAAATTATCAACATATGAAAAGTTTCAGTTTCAACAAATATTCCACCATTAGCTAGGCTACAAAAAAAGCTTCTCCTTTCTGTATAATTTCAGATTTTATTTGTTCATATGCAGTGTTTGATGCTGGAGGGAAGACAAACCACACTGTCATATTTGGGGAGGAAGAGTTATGGAATATTTTGCAAGGTTTTCTTTTTTTAAGAATATCTTGTAGTTCAAAGACAATAAGCCTTTGAAAACTTCCACCGTTCAACCAATGAGCATTGATAAAGAACATAGTTTTTGTTTCAACACTTCCATAAAGTGAAGATGATTAATTCATAATATTTACATGTATATTCTATAACATGATACTTACACTGTGGAGCAAAGCAATTAGGGAGACATCATCTCTTGCCTTGAAATATCAAGGAATCCACATTTTAACCTAACATAGTTGGTGTACCAGCTATTGAAATAGAGATGAATTTTTTTAAACCTAGCAGAAATCCTCTTTTGACATTTGCAAAAGATTAAAAAATAGCTATGCTATGACTTTGATTTTGTAGGCTGCAAATTGACAACACTTCATTTTGGTTTGGAAGTCTTTTAAGGCAAAACAAACCCAGAGTATTATTTGGGCAGTATCTTATATTGTACAACTTATATAATGCTAAAGAAGAGTATGTGTAGCATTTCTAATTTTGAGTTATTTGATCTTTGATATTGTTAGATATTCTGTGGGCAGTATAATTTTTAGTCTTTTCTCATACTATCCTAACAAAACTTCAATAATTAGTAATTTACCTCTCCACCTAAAATATATTTTGTGGAAGACTCGAAGCCATTTTATAGCTAGACAAAGTTATAAACTCAGATTATGCTTTAAAATTAAAATTTCTTCTTGCATACTTAATTCTGATTTCAGTCAACTAATTTCATCTATCCCTGTTTGCTTCTCATGAGGAAATTTCTCATCAAATTTACTATGATTTGCTGAGAATGTCCCACAACGTTGTCCACTTTAAACTTCTTTACATTATCAAACAGCTTTTTTAATTTGCTATATCACAGCAAATTGCAACTGGTATTGTGAAATCCACAATATATCTTTCTCCAGCTTCCTTTTTCTTTTTCTTTTTCTTTTTTTTCACTACTCTAGTCATAGTACTGATCTCCACATAATTCTGCATCATTAGTCTGCTTTCATTTTAAGTTTTTAAAATGTGTACACACTTATTTTTTAACCTAGGATGAATTATAATTAAAGGAATAAGTAACTTAATTACCAATTATTTCCTTCATATTACTCTAACTCATGTCTTCATAAAAGTCACATAAACACATCAATTTCATGACATCAATTAGTGATATTTATGCATAATACTAGAAACAACATATACACACAACATATGCAGTATAATACAAAAATAGTGTCTATGCAGTGCAATGTTAAGAGTAAAATGTCCTATCAACACAATAAAGTCAGTAATGGGGAAATAATTTTCACTGCTTCAGATTTAATTTAAATTAAAATTAGATAAAAAAGCCAATTCTTCAGTCACAGTCTACTGTCTTAGTTCAGTCTGGTGGCCATATAGAATGTATTAGACATGGGGTGGGAATGAGAGGGGCATCAGAGAAAACTGAATGAGGTGGGGATTCTCAAGATGGTGGCGTGAGTAGGGCAGTGGAAATCTCCCAAAACCATATGTATTTTGAAAATAGAGCAAAGACAACTACTCCTAAAAGAGAAACCAGAAGATACAGTACAACAGCCAGGCTACATCTACATCTGCGAGAACTCGGCATCTCACGAAAAGGGTAAGATACAAAGCCGTGACCCAGTGGGACCCAAGGACTCCCCCAACCCCAACTCACTGGTGGGAGGAAAAGAATCAGAGTGGGGAGGGAGGGGAAGCACAGGACTACTAAATAATCAGCCCTAGTAATCTGCACCAGGAGCACAGACACACGTTGCATGGTGTGCTGGATATTAGAGAAGCAGAAAAGTAAAATCCAAGATTAAGACTGCGAACAAGTCCCCACAGCCGGCTGCCCTGGGACAAAAGAAAAGAGGGTGCCTTAAAAGTCTTAAAGGGACAAGGGTTTAACAGGTAGACAAAATCATTCTGGCACACTCAGCCCAGCAGGCTGGGAACTCTAAGGAACTTCAGGTGCCCTAACCCCCTGGGTGGCAATGCAGCTGCAAAGCCCCTCATGGTAATAAGCAGCCTGCCATTCATTCCACCATGCCAGCACTGCAAGCAAACCAGCTGACCCCCCATTGCTTTGGACCAGCTGGGGAGCAGCCCTGCCCACAGCAACCACACAGAGTCTTCTCCCAGTGCACAGCTAACCAAGCCAAACCCAGAGGCTGCTCCCTACACACAGATGCCCGGCACAGTGGAGAGATGGCACAGAGCCTGGAAGGCACAAAGGGGCTTTATTCTCAGGGTGAACACACGCTGCTTGCCTGCAACTCCTGCCAGTGTCCTGGGCAATCCCAAGGGTCCCCCACCCACAGCAGCTCGGGATCAACCCAGAGGCAGCCCCCTGCACCTGGTTGACCAGCACAGGCAGAAAAAGCTGGCACAGAGCCCAGAAGGCACATAGGGGCTCTGCTTTCACAGTGAGCATGCATTGATCACCTGCAACCCCTGCCAGTGCCCTAGGCCATCTGAGGGCCACCCTATCCATGGCAGCTCAGGGTATTAACCCAGAGGCTTCCCCTGCACCTGGTTGACTGGCACAGGAGGAAGCCTGTGCAAGGTCCAGAAAACACAAAGGGGCACTGTTCTAGTAGGACAACACACACCACTTGCCTGCAACCCCCCACCAGTACCCTAGGCCATCTCGAGGGCCACCCTGCCCACAACAGCTCGAGATTAACCCAGAGACTGCTCCCTGTGTGCAGTTAACTGGCAAAGGCAGCAGAGATGGGAAAGGTGCCAGCAAGGAGGAAGGGACTTTGTTATCCCAGCTGACACACGCACCACTCACGGGCAATCACTTCCATCACCATGAAAAGACAGAACCTTGTCCAGTCCAAAATCACTCAAATGCCAGAGAGAGGGCCTGGTGAGACCGAAATAACCAATTTTTCTGAAAAATAATTCAAAATAAAAGTTATGTATGCTGATGGAGCTTCAGAGAAATATGAAAGAGCTAAGGGATGAATTCCAGAGGGAGATAACAGAAATGAAACAAACAATGGAAGGATTTAAGAGCAGACTGGATGAAGTAGAAGAGACTGTTAATGGAATAGAAATCAGAGAACAGGAATATAGAGAAGCTGAGCTAGAGAGAGATAAAAGGATCTGTAGGAATGAAAGAATATTAAGAGACCTATGTGACCAATCCAAATGGAACAATGTTTGCATTATAGGGGTACCAGAAGAAAAAGAGAGAGAAAAAGGGATAGAAATTGTCTTTGAAGAAATAATTGCTGAAAACTTCCTGCATCTGGGGAAGGAAATAGTTTCTCAGAACATGGAAATCCACAGATCTCCCAAGACAAGGGACCCAAGGAGGACACTACCAAGACATAATAACTAAAATGGCAAATATCAAAGACAAGGACAGGGTATTAAAAGAGCCAGAGAGAAAAAAGGTCACCTACAAAGAAAATCCATCAGGCTATCATCAGACTTCTCAGTGGAAACCTTACAGGCCAGAAGAGAATGGCATGATATATTTAATACAATGAAACAGAAGGACCTTGAACCAAGTATACTGTATCCAGCAAGATTATCATTTAAGTTTGAAGGAGGGATTAAACAATTTCCAGATAAGCAGAAGCTGAGGGAATTTACCTCCCACAAACCACCTCTACAGTGTATTTTAAAGGGACAGCTCTAGATGGATGTACCTGTAAGGCTAAATAGATGTCACCAGAGAAAATACAATCACAGCAAAGAAAGCAGACCACCCAAATACTAACTAAAGTCAAAATAAAATTAGCTATCCACAAAATCAGTCAAGGGAAAAACAAAACAGTACAAAATAAAACAGCTAACATATAAAGAGTGGGCAAGGAAGAAAAGGGGGAGAAATAAAGAATCATCAGACTGTGTTTATAATAGTGTAATAAGTGAGTTAAAGTTAGACAGTTAGATAGTTAAGAAGCAACCTTTGAATCTTTTGTAACCATGAATCCAAAGCCTGCAATGGCAATAAGTATGCATCTTTCAATAATCACCCTAAATGTAAATGGACTGAATGCACCAATCAAAAGACACAGAGTAACAGAATGGATAAAAAGAAAGACCCATCTATATGCTGCTTACAAGAGACTCACCTCAAACCCAAAGACATACACAGACCAAAAGTGAAGGGATGGAAAAAGATACTTTATGCAAACAATAGGGAGAAAAAAGCAGGTGTTGCAGTACTTGTATCAGACAAAATAGACTTCAAAACAAAGAAAGTAACAAGACATAAAAAACATTACATAATGATAAAGGGGTCAGTCCAACAAGAGGATATAACCATTATAAATATATATGCTCCCAACACAGGAGTATCAACATATGTGAAACAAATACTAACAG